TTATCATATTATGACTAGACCAGAAATTTAATATTTAAAGCAATTTACTGTGATAATAAGGAAATAATTTGAGAACTATTTTAAAATTTGCTACATAAAAGTGATTTTCCAAATATGTTTTCAAAGCAAATTATATTTAAAAATCCAATTATTTAGAATTCACCCACTAAAGGATGAACATGTTGGTTATCTTTTCTTCCATCTTGAGAGTGGAGAGTGAAAACCTAATGGTAACTGAGTGAGCCATTAGTACCTGTGAGCAGAGGTCCAAGCCCCTATGATTACTGCAAAAAGTAACCATTTTCTCATGTAATCATGGCGTAACTTTGTAGAAAAGCATTTGCAATCTCTGCCTAAATCCTGGGCCTTTGCACCATTCTTTGTGATGATTCTAAATGCCCTTGGCATGGTATTGAGCAGAGAGAGAGGTCAAGGTGGGATGAAGAGAACTGTTAAAAGAGTAAGTTCATTGTATTCATTGTTCTAGAAAAACACCATTGCTAGACATATATTGATAAATTGAAATTTAAATCTTTGGCATCAGATCAGCAGGTATATAGCCAGTATGAGAGTGGCTATTTGTTTCAGATCTGAGTTTATCAAGAAGACACTGCAGGTTATATTGCTTTGCTTCACCTGATTTTATATCATTTGACATCAGAAAATCACACAGGGTTTTGTAGGCAACTGATTGGCTATCTCCTATGAACTGCCCAGAAGAGGTCAAAACTGGAAATGTGTGGCACTTCCAACAAATGATAGGTGATATTTTGAACCAGCCTTAAGAAGTTATGTTTTCCCAGCTAGCACTCTTTGATATTGAGACTGTTTGGTAATGAAGAAAAGTCAAACTGTTTTCTTACAGCCTCAGAACCTACAGAGTTCTTACACCTCTCAAACACTAGAGGGCAGCAGAGACAATTCTATAATTGTCCAATGAGTGAGAGTCTGCGTCTGAAGACTCCCCTAATTTGTAGTGTTCTTGGAGGCATTGGCCCCACTGCTTTCCCTCTGGTAACCTCAGTTCTGCAGATTCCAAGGGCTTGTTTTAGTTTGGTTTTATCTATTCCTTTGTTTTGTGCCTCTGTATTACACATGTAATTGAAATTATCTGGTATTTATCTTTGTCTTTCTGACTTATTTCAGATGGAACAATCCCCTCCAGTTCTGTCTGTGTGGCTGTGATTGGCAAGACTTCATGTTTTTCATACCTGAGTAGTATTCCACATGGATATGTACCACACCTTCTTTACAGTCATCCAGTGGTGCCACTTTGATTGTTTCCTTATCTTGGCCACATAAATAGTGCTATAATGAAAATTGGAGTGCATATAGTTTTTTTCATTTATTGTTTTCTTTTTAACTCTTTGGTGGGGACTCCCTAGTGACCCAGGGTTTAAGTCTCAGTGCTATCACTGCAGTGGCTACCCCAGCAGCCTGAATTTGAACCCGGGCCAGGGAGCTGACCCACATATGGTACAACAGACCTCTCGGGGCTTCCCTGCTGCTCCCCTCAGTAGTGTATTTCAGTAAAATGTACTCCCCCACTCTGCCTCTGGTGAATCCTCTCACTCCCTGCATCTCTGGCCTACACTTCAGTTATTCTACACAAATATAAATTAATAAAATCTTAAAAAAAAAAAAACTGTTTGTTTAGATAGACATCTAGCAGTAGAATTGCTGTTTAAGAAACCTCTGTACTATTTTCCATAGAGACAGGACCAGTCTACACTCACCAACAATGTATAAGGATTCATTCTTTTCAAATCCCTTACCAAAACCTGTTTTATCTGATCTTTTTGATACAAGCCATTCTCACAGGTCTGAGTTAAGGTGTTATTGTGGTTTTCAATTATATTTTCCTGATAAGTTACAATGAACATTTTTCACTGCCTGCTGGACATCAACATGTTTTCTTTGGGCAAGTGTCTATCTAGCTTTCCTGCCATTTTAGAATGGGTTATTTGATTTTATCTGTTGTTGGGTTGTAGGGGTTCTTCATAATTTTTGAACACATGGAGCAGTGACCTCTCCTGTCTCACCTGCTACTCCCCTCAGCAGTGTATTTCAGTAGATACACCTGTTCTGCTCCCCACTCTGTCTCTGGTGAATCCTCTCACCCTCTGCACCTCTGGCCTACACCTCAGATTTTGTATGCATAAATAAGGGAAAAAAATTAAAAATAAAAAAAGATAAAACTCCTGTCTTTTTTGACAATGTGGATGGAACTTGAGATGATTACGTTAAGTGAAATAAGTCAAAAAGTTAAAGATGGTTTCACTTGTGGAATATAAAAATCTAAAGGAAACAAACTGGCAAAACACAACAAAAATGACTCTTAGACTCTGAAAAACCTGTGAAACTATACTCCCCAAATTATATAGTTTTGTAAATGATTGGCAAAGATGAAAAAGAGTCTATGGGGGCATTGAGAGGAGAGTGGGGGAAAAATATAAATTCCAAAAAAGAAAATATCTTATCACAGCACATCAACAATCCTCCTCTTTGAACATTTAACAACATATTGCTACAAACTTTGTTCATGGTTTACAGAATCTACACTTCCCCAACTCTACCTGTAGTCCACATCATCACCCTCCCTCTACCTTCCAAATCAGTTATTCTATTTTCATATATATTCTCTTACTGATTATCTCATTTATTGAATGTTTTACTGTTACAATTAAAGGGCCACTTTATCAGCATAAGATACACATTAACACACTACTCCTCCAAGTAACAGCTATATATGTGCATATATGCACATACATATTTGTGTGTGTGATTAGCACATATCTGCTTATGTACATTTATTGAACATTATGTCTTTACACACATATGTCTATAATCATGTTTATATAACATATACTAAATTATTTATGTTTATATATTACATATGTGTTTATATATTACCTGCATATCATTTATTATATCATATGTATATAAGAGTGTTCATGTATATACTTTTAAAAAAGAAAGAGGAGACAATATTATCTATCATTAACCCTATACATACTTTTCCAACAAGGAATCTATAGCTATGATTGTATATTCATATTGAAAATATATTCGGTTCTCACTATTCCTAAATCAAGCAGGTGATCACTCCCTCCCTATCAATTGACTTCAGAAATGGAAAGCAATATTCCCCTCTGAAGTTCACAAGTGCACACTCACACACACAAAGATGCACACACACACACAAGTAGGGTATCTATGTATATGTGTCCTTTTTCTATTTCTAAAGGAAAAAATAATTCTTACCCCTGTAAAAAAGCAGTTTAAATCATAACAGAAACCAAGTTTATGTTGTTTAAAAGATGTTCACATTTTCCAAACTTTTTGTACTAGTTGCACACGTTCAGTATGTTTTCACACAGGTGATGGCAACAACTTTTTTTCGCCTGGTGACCACCAAGTGTTTTGACTATTTAGATTTCATTTCTAAGATGTCTAATTTAGTAAGAAAATAATGTTTCCATTCACCCTTTTTAGTGTGTAGAAGGAACTTCATTTAGTGTATATGGAAACAAGAACCAAAAAATCACAGTGTCCCAAAACCAGTTTTTCTTTGCCCTTTTCTGTAAAGACAATTAGTTTAAAATAACTAATATGTCTATTTTATCTATCTTTTCTCTTTCCCTTTTTTTTTTCTATTTAAGCACAATGGACAGTGAAAGGGAGAGGATTTCTCCAATTCATTCAGAATTTTCCTGGAATTTGCTGTTAACATGTTTTTCTTTGTTTTATTCTTTCCACATCTAAAATCATTTCCATTGCATTTTTATAGCTGCCTATAGCTGTCTTATCTTAGAATCCGATTGATTCCCTCTTTACTTTGTTCTCAGTCAGGCTGAATCTTTTTTGTAGGTTTATTATTTACAAGGTTTTTAACACTTAACCTGGCTCTTTACTTCCAAGCACAAAATTTTAATTCAAGGTTAAACCATGATCTTGGAGAAAGGACATGGCTTACAGAGACTGGTTGCTGCTTATGATGGATTCATTAGATAAACATGACATTTTTTAAATTACAGAATATAGAAATAGCACATGCAAGTGTTCTGAATTCCTTTATCTACAATGAATACAGAGATAAACTGTCTTCTTTCCATATTATATATAATATTCCATAACATAATAAGTATGTACTAACATGTAAGATTTCAGTAAAACAAATTAATAGAATGACTTCCTTGGAGATTTCTACAAATAATATTGATGATAATATATGTATCAATCAGTTCTAATATATGTGTTAATATGGTGTACTAGGTATATGTGTGAAATCCTTGTTTTAGTAGGTGATGCTTATTTTTATAAAATTTATCTCCTTTCCTATCCATTCTATCATTCTTGAAAATGTATTTAAAAAAATACTTGTGAATATTCCCATGAATTTTACTACTCCTTTCTTAATTATGCATGCATTATAATTATTATTTATCAAGTTAATGAGTTGAAATTTATAGAAATATTTAATCTGATATACTCATAAATAATATTTAATATTCACAGGTAGTATTGTTCCAACATTACTTAAAAAACAACAGTCCCCAAAGATGCTAATATTCTAAGAAATAATTTTTTAGGGAGAATCATTACTAGAACATATATAAAGTTTTAGTTAATATTTATTACAACCTGATTTAAAAATGACTATACAGTTCTATAGAAAGGAATACTATACTTTCAAATAAGTGATAAAATAGAGTTTACATTATGATTAAGTGCATTGCATCAATATTTATCAAAATTTATTAAGTGGAGACATTTCACTAAGATAGTATACAATTTTAGATAGAACAATTTGCTATATGTTGACACACTCACAACTTGTGTAACTGGATATAAAAATGTCTTTCGAGGTTACAACTGATTTTTAATTGCAAATAATTACCACTGTTTAGACCAATGTGTTGAGTTTGAGATAATTTTGTTTAAATTTTTTTTTGCAAATATATATGAATTCAATTCCTATAATATTTTATTGAAATAAATTATTTATATAGCAGTTTTCTCAGTGCCATTATGACATCCTTATTCCTGAGACTGTATATCAAGGGATTGAACATGGGAGTCAGTATGGTGTAGAAAAGTGAGAGCAGTTTGTCAGTTCCAGCAGAGTGATTGGACTTTGGCCTTAAGTAAGTTATAGTAGCAGATCCAAAGAATAAAACCACAACTATGAGATGTGAAGAACAGGTGGAGAAGGCTTTGGCCCGACTTGTGGCTGATGGCAATTTCAGGATGGTGGAGACAATTTTGCCATAAGAGACAAGGATCAGCAGAAATGGAACTGTGACAAACAATACAGCAACTATGTAAACCATCATCTGATTCACAAGGGTGTCCCCACAGGCCAGTTTGAGTATTGGGGGGATGTCACAGAAGAAGTGGTTGACGCGGTTAGAATTACAAAAAGGTAGAGAGAAAATCTGGTAAGTCTGTCCTATTTGGACTGGAATCCCACTGACCCAGGAGCCGGCCACCAGCTGGACACAGAACTTGTGGTTCATGACCAGAGGGTAGTGCAGAGGATTACAGATGGCCACGTAGCGGTCATAGGCCATCACGGCCAGCAGGAAGCATTCGGTGGCCCCCAGTACAAGAACACAACACATTTGTGTAGCACAGGCAACAAAAGAAATCGTTCTCCTCTGGCTCCAGAGATTTGTAAGCATTCTGGGGAGTGTAGCTGATACATAGCAGATTTCCAAGAAAGAAAAATTACCAAGGAAAATATACATGGGGGTCTGGAGAGTAGGGTCCACTTTTGTTATCAGAAATATGGTACTATTGCCCAACAAGATAATAATATATATGGCTAAGAACAATGTAAATAAAAACCACTGGAGATGGGGAACCTCCACAAAGTCCAAGAGAACAAATTCCATCAATCTAGTTAGATTTTCTTCAGGAGGTTTTTCTTCTTTCATCTGCAGAAGGAGAAATTTAGTGTGTGATTTTCACTTTGCCTTCATGGATCAGCGTCTCTTCCCTATATTGATTCAGGACATGTGATTGGCTTTTAGCATCATTGCAATTTCTTTCACTTTAAGATTGCTACTATTTATATCATTTTCATTTTGTTTTCAGTTTAGATTCAACTATCACTGTACACTGTGCTTGTACACCTAATACAAGGTTGAACATTTGATTTGGAAATAAGTGAAGCAGTACACACTTTTGGAATGAAATCCCACTTTTAAAAGGAAGAAAAGAATAAATATACAAAATAATAAAATTCCAATCTTTTTGTATCAGTTTTATGGATGACACATTCATGAATTATATAATATATATATTCATATATAAAATTATATATATTTCTAGTTATGCACCCCATATTTTAGTGACGAATCATAAGTGTATAACATAAAATATGTAAAATGTAAGATTGGGGTTTTCCTCAAGAGGATAACAAAGAAGAAAGGCAGAGATTTATTCTGTCTACTCTAAAAAAATTATTTATGCAATTTTCTTTTCTGTAAATGCTTCAGTTCTTTTTAATAATGCAAAATAATGTTCTAGTAGCTTTATTTTAAATCCAAGCCTATATTCCCTCAATAAGCCCAAATGATGAAGGGAATGTATAACAATATTCTAATTTAGCTGATATGGGAAGTTACCTAAGCTTCAGCTATATTTGTACATTTGATATAAATTAGTAAACTAGCCCTTGAAATTCAGAAAAGAATATTCAACTTAAAACTTTCTTTTATTATTTTACAAAGTCATTCACTTTCACTTACAATATTTTCCTTAACATTAATGTTAATTAGAATCTCAAAGGATAAATTTATTTCATGGATTGCTTTACTTCAGAACTCTATTACAATGTCAAGCTAAACACACAAATATAACTCTAATTTATTACAATTCCCTGTCTCAGAATGAAGATTTCCTATGACTTATTATCTATACCTTGAGAAGTGCTTCAATTATTGTAGTTTGCAGTATTTCAAGGCAATTTAATAGCATCATTAACATTAATTCACTGTAAATTATATTTAATGGAACCAGAAAATGTATAAAAATCACACATTTGCAACTATATATTAAACAATAATTTTAATTTAGAAGTCATATAAGTTAAAGTTTAGTATTAATATAAAATATTTCATATTTACCTTTCTTATTTGATATGATGTTAATTTTTTTCTCAGTATAAGAACTTAAATATTTAAATTACTGTAGGTGAAACCACTTGTTTTATCAAGGATATCAAGTGACCTCTCTGAACATAAAGTGCTCTTTAAATATAATAGTTACCAAGGCCCCAGGGATCTTTTCTACCTGACACGTGTAAATTTCTCATGACATTTCTAAAATCATCTCTGTGGCACTCTCTGACTTGTTATATTTTATTTTTCCTAGAAAGCTCTCATTGTTATCTCTCTCACTTAGTGAAACTTAATTTTGATATTGCCATCTATTCTTATTTCTGTTAAACTTTATGACACTTCAAAAATATGTTTTTATAATTTATCCAAATATTATAATGTTGTAGTGAAGACTGGCTTGTTATTACCCAGTGTTTTTTTCTTAACCAGAAATGGAAGGATTTCCTATTTATTTTAAATGTGTTTTAAATAATGAAAATTATATGTCACTTGGCTTTTACTATGTCCTTTTTTCATAGAAACTTTGATTTATCTCTCAAACAATTCAATAGTATTAGCAGTTTGAATCATATTTTGTTGTTGATTATTAATTTTTGAAGTGAAGGGCAATTTATTTTTCTGAATTAGTTTCAGGAATGAACAGAAGCATGTATAAAAGTAATAGACAATCTTATTTTAATTTTAATTTGTATTTTGATAATGACTAATGATGGTAAGCATCTTTCAGTCAGGTCTGTATCTCCACTGTTAAAATATTTATTTAGGTTATATGTATATTTGTTAGATCGTTTCTTTTCTTATGATTGAGTTTTGTGTATTTAAGTTTTGCGTGTGCTTAGCAAATTCTCTATATATTCACTTTATTGGATATACAATTTGAAAGTATTTTCCACTTTGGCTTTTATTTAAAATCTATAAATAATGTTAATCTAAAAGAAAAAAAAATTAATTTTGATGCAGTCCCATTTATAGATATTACTATGTATTGCAAACTTGGTAACACATATAAAATGTGTTGCTTAATTTCAGGTCACAAATATTTTCCTCTTTTTTTCCTGATAATTCTGTCATTTGATATTCTGCACATAAATTTATTACCCAATGTTATTCCTTTTTATAAGCCATGACTTTTTAGGCTTAGGTGTTTAAATATTTAGTAGACTTTCTTTCACTTATGAAATATGGTAACATTATCATGATTTTTTTGAGTATTTGAAAAAAATATTGAAGTAGAGTCACACATCCGTACTGATATAAGTGTTCATAATCATAAATATTTGAACATTTGTTTTTTGGGAAACTATTTCAAATAATGGCAAGGGGGGGTCATATTATCTGTGGGGTCATATTATCTGTTAGCCATTTTACAAGGGAACTCTTCAAACTGAAGAATGAATACTGCTTTCTAATATCAAACTTACATAGAAACATCAACAAAGTGGATGGAAAGATAAATATTTTTTAAATGTAAAAGTGTGTGCACACATAGCTTTTAAATGATGAAATAACTGCTGTGGAAAATCTTACCACTAATAATCACATCTACAGAACATGAAGCTTATTTCTAATAAACTGTTGTGGGTCTTTCCAAGGCCTTGTGAATCATTTCCTAGCTCAAAAAGATTTCTGCACCAATTGAAAGATACTAACAAGAAATCAATCAGCACCAAATATTGTCAGCAAGACATGGTGATATTTTCTCCCTTAGAACTCTATTCAAGCACATACAGCAAACTATGCATGTATATAGTTCACACAGGAGTATTTCTGAAGTTACAGTGTTGATAGTCTGGGACTTTTGAAATGATGGCAGCAGAGGGTTCCTAGCCTCTCCTCCCCTCCCCTGACCTCCCCTCCCATCTCTCCCCCTCCCTCCTCTTTGATTTCATAGCTATGACTTCTGCAAACTTCCAGGAATGAAAGGAGGTGAAAATAAAAGGCACGGCCTTAGTTGGCTGTGCGGTCACCTCACTAGCAAGAATTGAGTCATCTGCTCACACTTAGCAGGAAGGTTATGGTGATATATGGACTATTTCAAATCCCCAAACTACAGTTAGGGAATAGATAAATGTGGGATAGAAGTTAAGGTTGGTAAATCTGTGCTGGTCTATTGTATACCCAGTATCAAATTATCGCCTCTATGTATCCTTTCTTTGCACAATTTAAATAAATTCCCACATATCATGTGGCTGAAAAACCACATATTTGTTATTTATTATCTTAGCAGTTCTATGTATATCATGATTATGAAATACTAGAATCATTTCCTTGAAACCCCCTATAAACAAACAAAAAAAAACCACACATTCATGAAATACTAATGAGGCTATTATTAGGTCTTACTAAGGGCAGAGGGGAAAGATTGATAACTACATAAAGAGTAATGATTACAGAGATAGAAATGTAGAGTTTAAAAGGGTTATGCCCATGACTGAAAACCTAGACTATTTAAGGGTACACATTCATTCAATGAGTTTTAGTCATAAAATTTTGTGATTTATTTTGTTTTAATTACTAGAATATGTGACACTATGATAACAAATGGTGCTCTTTAAATAGATACATCCTTATACTCTGTAGAAAAGCTCTCCTAAGAACAGAGGCATACTTTAAATTTCATTTGAAAAAAGGGAAACTACATGAGAATAATGTCTTGGTCATTACTCAGAACTTAGCAGAGTCAAATCATGGATAGTCAAAGAATTTTATAGAGGATCAGATGACTTTTTATAAACTATATCATAAGTTACTCTCCATTCAGAATAACTATATCATAAGTTACTCTCCAATCATGGTTATGTGTGTCAAATAAATGATAAATCCAGAGGATAATTTCAAAAGGCTGCCACAAGTGGATGAGCACATCAGGAAGACAAAGGGGAGAGAAAGAAATAAAAGGAGAAAATACAAAGACCTCAAGCTTTTTGTAAAAGTACAAAGACATAACTTGATTTTTAATTGACCACAAGTTCATAATGACATAATCATTAATTGATATTTTCTTTGAATATTACCAAAAATTAAGTCTACATACTCCCTGTTTAGGTGAGGAAAGATTTATGTAGCACATTTTAAAATATCTAAGCATATAACAACAGTGCAAAGAAAATAATACTAATGTGGAAGCAAGTAGGTTTTCTTGCTCAGATAGTTAATACTGTAGAAAGTCCCAGTTAGATATCGTAAACAATCTCTTAATATGACCTGCTGATTCAAGAATCTGGAGTTGGGAGGGGGCAGTCATTAATGATAATATCAGTTCAAACATTTAATGATGCCAAACACTTTAGAGAGCGTTAAAGGCATTAAGATTTGTTATATTGCTCTTTTTTTAGTAACGTGGATTTTAGTGTAATTCTGAAAATAAGTTCCAATATTTCCTTCTCTTGAAAACTCACAGGTGTTGGGATATTTTTAGCTATGAATTGGTATGGGAGTAACTGTTTGTAAATGAGAAGAAAGATTTATAAATGCAATAAATTAAAATTCAATTATACTTATAATTTAATTTAAATTATCAAAGTATTTAATAAAAACTTATTCAATAATATGAATATAAATTATTACCTAAAATGAAATATAAATGATAAATAAGAAGAAATAATTTAAAGCACATTACTTTGGACCCAGATTTCTACAGAGAGCAGAGAAATGCATGCATAGTAAATTTTCAGTGCATGCTCTCTATATAACATGTGCTTAACTAGAAACTTATCAAGAAGAAAACTGGGTGAAGGTAAGCTGCTGTTATGATGAGTGAAATTCACACAGATGCATTGCATGTTAAACAAATATGCCACATTGTTTATTTA